CATGATGTTCTACCCTTGTGGGGATATATGGAAGCAGCCATGTGGCCAGGCACATGTTGGGGTAAGGAACAAGAGGGCAGGAATAGCCATGTTTGGGTGGACCCAGTTTCTAAGGGCTTGCATTTGCATATCAAAGGTCACCAGCCTGACTCTGAGAGTGGGGGCTTTCTTGCTAGACAAGAAATGTTTCTGGAACTGCTTTAAAAGAAACAAAAACTTCCCAAGGACCCCTTTTCCTTTCTATCTGCCTAAAATAATTTTAAAATAACTCCTATAACATTTCCCCCTGTGGAGATGTCACCCTAACTGCTCTTAGGAAGTTTTGGCCACGACTTTTTCTGGCTACTTCCTGCTGAAAAGGAGCACTGAATGGGGAACAGCAGCTAGGGTTCCTCCTGGGATTAATCTAAGGGTCCTTAGAAGAATGGTGTGTCTGTGTGTGGTTCAGTTTGCAGCACCATTTGGAGTTCGATTGCTTTTGGTGAGAGGATGCAATTCAAGTTATAGTATTGAGTATACAGGGTCCAAATATTAATACAAGACATATAAGCAAGAAAGAGGTTAATAATAGGGTTCACCAATTCCATAAAGAAGACTGGAATTCATTAAAGCGGGGTTGTAGCCACCTGAGGCTGAAGTCTGCATTTTCCCTTAGGCTGTCAAAAATTTTGATTTGATTTTTAAGTACCTGTAACCCTATTTCAAATAGTAGAGTGAGTACAGCAATTCCCACAAGTGTGGTGTAGTAGATAATTTCCATTTAAAATTTTACTTGCAAAGATACAGAATTTTCCTTTGGGGGATCTATGAGACTTTTTGGTTTTATTTTCCTGAACAAAGAAATCTCTGGGTTATGGGCACCCTACATACTTTTATTACCTGGCAGAATTTACAGGATAATTGCCCAGAACTAGCATATTGATCCAGATTTTTACCCATTCCGTTTTGTTTTTTTCCAAGCTGCAGAAGATTACCATTTGATTTACAGGAATAAGCAGAGTTAGTTTAAAATGTAGACAAAATACTTAAAAACAGTTAATAAGGCTAGGATTTAAGGACAAATGTATGATAAGCTTTGGAGCACAATTTTTTTCTCCAGTTCTTATTTTTGGTAAAAACAAAATATGATAGAACCATGTGTGTTGTTCATAGAATAAACTTCAGTTTTATACGTGGCCAGATTATTTGCATAGAATGTGGCAAGAATGGTTATTTCTACATAGGCCTTTTGGGTTGGCTATGATGGAACTTTGTTCTATAAGGAATCTCAGATAGTTTCTAAATTTTAGAGGAGCAAGGCAGAAAAAAATATGCTTTAAATTTTGCTTACAGGAGTACACCTTACTCCATTATTAAAGGCTGTAAATGGTCCAAAATGAGTTTCTTTGATTCTGAAAAAGAAAGCAAAGATTAGCAATAGTTCAAGCAAAAGTGAAAAAAGTTGCTTTAATTTTTGAGTGCAGTCTATTTAGTTAACTCTTCTTTGCTTGATGTTTGTGAACATGTCAGTTCTTTATGAGTTCCGTATGTTTTTTCTCTATTCCAATGTTACACTCTTCAAAGCTATTAACAACCTGCATTTGAGAACACCTGTTAGAGTCCTTAACATAGCTTAATTCTAAATCAGCTTTTGAGAAGGAACAAAGCAACAACATTTGTCTGTGAATGACAAAATTTTCTGGATAGTTAAAAACATGACTGACAAGTTTATCTCCATTGTTTGCAATAACTTTACCCTTAATGATTGATGGCATATACTTAGACATCAGAATTTTAGAAATCCCATACAATTTTGGAACGGATATTGATATTTTTCACCAAAATGTAACTTAAAGAAGATCAGACATCATGTTGGCAATCTCATGTTACTAACCACGTCAGATAATCCTGTTTACCTCTTTTCTGGATGTTTCAGGGGAATGCTGTACCATCCAAAGAGTCAGGCATCAGAAAGGACACTTTTGAAACTTAAAGTTTGATTTGGGACTCCTGTTAAATGTTAGAGGTTCAGAACCCTTGATGTTATGAAACAGAATTTCAGATTGCCATAAATTATTTATTTTGCCAAAATGATGACTCAAAAGGCAAAAACTTTTCATTAGCCTTTGCTATGACATGAAATCCTGTTTAAAGCCAAATTTTACCCTTGTATTAGTTTATTAATATTAACCCCAATTTGTTTAAGTGAAACCTTATAGATTATTCCATCTCCTCTTAACCAATTTGACCATGGGGTGAAATTTTTTACAAACCTTTTATAACCTTTTTACTAAAGGACAGATTAACATCTTAAGACCTCCTTGCTGTGCTTTTATTTCAATTCTCAATTTATGAAAAGACCATATAATACCCTTTTGTGTTTAATCTTTACACATTTTTTGCAAGATGATGATGATGATTATTTCTTGACCAATGCAAGTGGATTTGTTCATTTTTTTTTGAGAAGGAATTTCATTGCTACACCCAGGCTGGAGTGCAATGGTGTGAATTCAGCTCACTGCAACCTCCACCCCCAGGTTCAATAAATTCTCCTGCCTCAGCCTCCCCAGTAGCTGGGATTACAGGCATGCAACACCATACTCAGCTAATTTTTGTATTTTTAGTAGAGATGGGGTTTCACCGTATTGGCCAGGCTGGTCTCAAACTCCTGACCTCAGGGGATCCACCTGCCTTGGCCCTCCAAAGTGCTGGGATTATAGGTGTGAACCACTGTGTCCAGGTTTTTAAAAAATTATTATAATTTTTCATTTTACTAGTCCTTGCCTGCATGCATTTCCTCCCAGGTGCAGAGCTTAAGTGGTTTTCTGACCAAATACTGTTCTAGTCACGAGTTCATGTATTAGAGACCAAACTTTTCCTTATCAAATCAGCTCTGCATGGTTTTCCCATCTTCTTGGTATTATTATTATTATTTTTTGAGATGGAGTTTCACTCTTGTTGCCCAGGCTGGAGTGCAGTGGCACAATCTCAGCTCACTGCAACCTCCACCTCCAGGGTTCAAATGGTTCTCCTACCTCAGCCTCCTGAGTAACTGGGATTACAGGTGCACACCACCATGGCTGGCTAGTTTTTGTATTTTTAGTAGAAATGGGATTTCACCATGTTGGCCATGCTGGTTTTGAACTCCTGACCTCAGGTGATCCACCCACCTCAGCCTCCCAGAGTGCTGGGATTACAGGCATGAGCCACTGTGCCCAGCCCTTATAATCATCATTATTCTTTGCCGTGCCTACCTTTGTAATTTTTAGAAAATTGAAATGTATCCACCCAGACTTCGATGATGTCCCCCATTGTTTCAATAAGCAAGAAATGGTTTTCCCAGAAAGGGAACGCTCTGTGCATTCCATCCGGACTCATTCAAAATCCCTCTGGTTCCCACGAACACCCCACCATCCACAGTCCCCATATTAAGACCCCCTTCTGCTATCTCTCAACAGCCCCCTGGCTAAAAGCATTCTCCAAGCCTACTTGCCCCTCAGTCCCACCACTGCCACCACTTAGGAAAAGGTCCGGTGGTCAGAGCCCACCTCCGGCAGGTTTCTCCCTTCTGCTTTGATGCCTCTCTCCATCGCAGCCCCACTGCAACTTCTCGGGTTCCACTTGGCACCCCCAAGTTCCACTTGGCCTGCAGGGATCAGCTGTTTCCCCAGCAACAGTGGCCCACAGAGGACAACTTCCTTCACCCCCCAGTTCAGCCAAATGAAGGTCAACACGTCTCAAAAGGAATTTTGCTGGAAAACTAAGAGAAGGCAACACGTAGACCCCGGGAAATGTGAAGACATCAAAACAGAAGCGTTAAAGGTCAGAGGTTTTTCTATCCTACATACGTCTTCCCTGAAACTTGGCTCTGTGGCTGCTTGGAGGGCTCTCTGCTCTGATACTCATGACCTGTTTTGTTTTATACTTAATCTTAGCCGAGAAGTGATGGATAACCTGCTTTTTCTGTTGTTTCTGTTTTGGGTTTTTTTTTTTTTTTCTTTTTGAGATAGAGACTGGAATGCAGAGTTGTGATCCTGGCTCACTTCAGCCTTGAACTCCTGGGCTCAAGGGACACTCCAACCCCAGCCTCCTGAGTAGCTGGGTTGATAGGCATGGGTCACCACATGCAGCTAATTTTAAAAAATTTTATATACAGATGGGGTCTCACTATGTTGCCCAGGCTGGTCTCAAACTCCTGGCCTTAAGCAATCCTTCTGCCACAGCCTCCCAAAGTGCTGGGATTACAGGTGAGCCACTGCACCTGGCCGAGCCTGTGCATTTTAATACTTAGTCTTAGGCAAAAGGCTGAGAAGCAATGGAGAATGTGGATTTTTGGACACAAATTCTGCTGGGTTTGGTTTTTCAGTAGCCTATTCTCTTCATAGCCTTTGACCCTAAACCCTCTTTGGCCCCAGCTACTGTCTGCACTTACCCATTCTCCTGCAAGCCCACCTGGTACTGCCGCCAGGGGATGCCGTGATCATAGGAGCTTCCTGCCTGTGGCTGGCAGAAGAGGCCATTTACTGCTCATTCAAAATCTCAGGCCTCCTCTCACTGTGCCAGTCTGAGGGGGAGCCAGGGTCAGAGCACTGTTCCGTAATGCACATACCTGACCCACCCTGGGCCCTTCTTGACCCCCAAGACTCTCCCTTGGCTACTCTATTAGGAATGCTTTTGAAGAATGCAAATCAGGACAGGCTCACAAACCTCAGAAACCTAAACTATACAGCAGTGGTGGCAGTGACAGCAGCCATGAACAAAAAGCAAGAGGCAGGTGAATCTCCAGTGTCCCCCACACCTAGTCACCTGCCTCTTCTGTTTCTGAGAGTTAAGATCACACCATCACGCTTAGTCCCTATTCTCACACACTAGAAGACAGGTTAGCAGTTGGGCATGTCATGTTGAAAAGTTGCCAATCCCTGCCCTTCAGGAAAATGTCCTCTCCCACAGGCAGCTCTGCTTCCCCCCTACCTTCTCCCTCCCCCCCTTCCCCCACCCTAGTCCTAGACCCTTTACCTGTCCTAAGAATGGAACCGAAAGACATGGATGGTCCCATTACTGAGGGATATAACCAGGTACCTGCCATCCACCATGGTGGTAACCCGGGACTTTTCCAGGCTGTGGTAGGCTGTCAGGAGGTCTCCAAGGAGCGGCTTCTTTGGGTCCAGGATCACCACCTTGTTTACTTCTCGAATGGTCAGGAAGATGTAGCCTTTCTTATCCACAGACATGGAGCCCGGCTGGCAGCTGTACAGGCTCGGCCCCTTGTACTCCACAACCACCTGGCCAAGCCTGTCACAGATTACCACACTATTCTGCTGCCAATCAGACCTCAGGAAATGCCCCTGGGGGCTGGTGGTCAGAAACACCAGCGCCCGCAGGCCCCGGCTGGCCTTGCCCCCAGGGATGAACCAGGTGGCCAGGCTGCCTTCCATATTGTACACCTCCACGTGCCCCGCCACGCTGACGGCCACGCGGTCCCCACTCAGCAGCGTGGCCATGGCGTGGCTGGCCTGGGAGAGGCTCAGGGCCCGGCGCCACTGAACCTCACCATCGGGGCTGATGAGATAGAGCCGTGCACCGGCAGAGAAGGCCACGGCGCTCTGCAGGGCTGCCACGTTGCAAGGAGAGCAGCTCTCAGGGGTGGGCACGGTGCCCTTGCAGTCGCCATTGAGGGAGAAGCATTTCAGCACCTGGTTCTGCTTATCCGATACCAGCATCTCCTGGGGGCCAAAGGGACAGAGTCCTGTGATCCGGGGGAACCTCTAGTGTGGGGAAACTGCAGGAAAAGATGGGCCTAGGGAGGAGGTCAGAGCTGTCCAGATTCGGCCCCAGGGCTGGGCTGGGCTCCTGGGAAATTGACTTGAGCCTGCCTTTGAACTTCCTCTTCTTGTTGGATCTGCCACCCCTCTGGGGCTGGGGTCCTCCATCCTCGCGGGGCGTCTGGGCTCTGTCCTCTTCCAAGATCTGGGCTCCGTCTTCTCGGGGCATCTTGGCTTTGTCTTCTCGGGGTGTCTGGGCTTTTTTCTCTTTTGGGGTCTGGGCTTCATCTCTGGCCTGGAGCTGGGTTTCCTTCCCCTTAGTTCAAATTTAAGCCAAGCATTTTAAGATTTGGAAAATTAACTTTTCCCATGTTGGAAAAACATTATAAAAGCGATAGAAGCCATTTTAAACTGCAAAAGAAGAAAGAACACCATAGAAAGACCTTCCAATTAGGGTTGTCAGGAGGTGTTGCCTCTTTTTCTAACGGGAATGGTGTTTTCCCTATTTTTTGCCCTTCCCTATTTCCTCTTTTGGACTACTATAGGAGACACATTACTCATCTCCAAAATTCTCTTCTGCTTGCAGAGCTGTCTGTTTTGGCTTCAGTGAGGATTTGGCTTAGGAGCAGCATAACATACCTCCATGAGAGATTAAGTACCTGAGTTAAATTATGGAAAGCTTCTATATACTTATCAGTGTTATCAGAAAATTGGCCTAAGTCTCCCTTTACTTGCCTAAGGTCCTGTGATGAGAAGGGAACTTGAAGGGGCCCCAAATAAGGGAATCCTCAGATGGTTTCCCTGGAAGTTGCTTCTCTAATTTTGGGGAACTCTTCTTTTGGACCTGCCTGATATGATTGATAAAAGACCTGAGTTGATTTTGGAACACTTTCAAAAGTCTAGTAAAAAGGCCATGCCCTTGTACAAAATAAAATAAGCCACTTTTTCTTCAAAGTTTCAGTGTTGAAGGATTCCCAGTGCTTTACAATACAATCCATGGTGCATATTAAAGATGATTTATTACTCATCTGGAAAGATAAGTGAGAATAAAAGTGTTCTTTTAATCACCTTCCTTTTCCTGATCCATTCAGAGTGGAGAATAAAGCAGTAGAAGCATTCCCCCAAACTATCTTTTCTCCATGGCTCCTGAATCCTGGCAGCCATTTAGATGTGCCATCCATGACTGTAGGCATGACCCTCCAAGCCATGGTACCAGAGAAACTTAACTTTTGGGCCTAGTCATGCTTTCCCAAGCAGTCTTAGTCCTTTGCCTTTTATTTTTCTATGACCTCCTAGACTTTCTGGCCTGAGTGCCTTCCTAAAATATAAATATCAAGAAAATACTATGTAATTGGGCAAGCCTTCTTTAAGAGAGGAAGTGTGCTAGATAATAGCTATATCCTGGGGGGAACAATCCAAGATGGCTGATCGCTAACATCTCGGGATTGCAGCTCTCAGTGGAAGTGCAGCGAACTAGAGGACGCCACACTTTCAGACAAATTCTGGTTGCTCATGGAGCAGAAGAACCCCAGTGGAGTCACACGGGTCGCCAGCGCGACTCTTGTGGCTGGCGCAGTGGTTTCGCCAGCACCTCGGCACGGCAGCTCTCGGAGCAGAGTAAACAGGGCTGGCTCCCCTTCTGATCGAGGTTTGGAGGACCCACACGGGTCCCCAGCACGACACCTGAGGCCGGCGCAGCAGCTGTGAGGGCACCTCGGCGCGACAGCTCTCGGCGCAGAGAAAACGAGACTGGTTCCCCTTCTGACCGAGGTTTGGAGCCCCGGGAAGGCAGAGGCGCCTATTACGGACACAAGAAGGAAGCCAGACAGGAGAATCCTGGGCAGAAAAGCACCATCAGTCTTAATGCTGCCGTTCTGGCCCTGGGAACTAACAACTTGGACGTCCACTCAAAAGACCTAATCTAAAAGTTAGTAATTTCAAAGATGACAGGAGGATAAATTTACAATGATGGGAAGAAACCAGCATAAAAAGGCTGAGAATACTCAAAATCAGAACGCCTCTCCCTCTAAAGATGATCACAGTTCCACATCAACAATGGAACAAGGCTTGATGGAGAACGAGCGCATCCCAATGACAGAATCACTCTTCAAGGAATGGATAATAAGAAACTTCTGTGAGTTAAAAGAACATGTTGTAGCCCAATGTAAAGAAACTAAGAACTTTGCAAAAAGGTTTGATGAAATCCTATTGAGAATTGACAACTTAGAGAGGAATATAAGTGAATTAATGGAACTGAAGAATACAATACAGGAACTCTGAGAAGTATGCACAGGTTTAAACACTCGAATTGTTGAAGCAGAAGAAAGGATATCAGAGGTCAAAGTCCAACTTAATGAAATAAAACGCGAAGAAAAGATTAGAGAAAAAAGGATAAAAAGGAATGAGCAAAGGCTCCAAGAAATGTGGGACTATGTGAAAAGACCTAATTTACGTTTGATAGGTGTACCTGAATGCGACAGAGAGAATGAATCCAAGCTGGAAAATACCCTTCAGGATATTATTCAGGAAAATTTTCCTAAACTAGCAAAGCAGGTCAATATTCAATCCCAGGTAATACAGAGAACACCACAAAGATATTCCTCAAGAATAGCACCCCCAAGGCACATAATCGTTAGATTCACCAGGGTTGAAATGAAGGAGAAATTCTAAGGGAAGCCAGAGAGAAAGTCAGGTTACCCACAAAGGGAAGCCTATCAGACTTACAGCAGATCTCTCAGCAGAAACTCTACAAGCCAGAAGAGAGTGGGGGCCAATATTCAACATCCTTAAAGAACAGAACCTTCAGCCCAGAATTTCATATCCAGCCAAACTAAGCTTCACAACTGAAGGAAAAATAAAATCTTTTATGAACAAGCAAGTACTCAGAGATTTTATTACCACCAGGCCTGCTTTACAAGAGCTTCTGAAAGAGGCATTACACACAAAAAGAAACAACCAGTATTAGCCTTTCTAAAAATATACCAAAAAGTAAAGAGCACCAACATGAAGAAGAATTTACATCAACGAAAGGATAAAACAGCCAGTTAACATCAAATGGCAGTAACCCTAAATTTAAATTGACTAAATCCCCCAATCAAAAGACACAGCCAAAATCCAACGGCATGTTACATCCAGACCTGTTTCACATGCAAGGATACACAAAGACTCAAAACAAAGGAATGGAGAAAGATTCACCAACCAAATGGAGAGCAAAAATAAATAAATAAATAAATAAAAAGCAGGAGTTGCAATTCTCGTAGCGGATAAAATAAATTTTAAAGCAGCAAAGATATAGTGGTAAAAGGATCAATGCAACAAGAGCTAACGATCCTAACACCCAGATACATAGAGACTTAGATTCAATGAGACAGAAAATTAATAAGGATATCAAGGACTCGAACTCAGATCCAGAACAAGTAAACTTAATAAATATTTATAGAGCTCTCCACTTCAAATACATAAAATATACATTCTTGTCAATACCACATCACACCTACTCATAGGTTTAAATGAAACATTGATTGGCCATTATTAATACCCATTTTTTTTTTCAGAATAAAGCAATATTTCCGTTCACCCTCCCTCTTTCTCTTCCTCTTTCTTCCTCTCATTTACTAATTTTTTTTTCTTTCTTTCTCTCAAAAAAAAAGAAAAAAAAAAAAAAAAGTAAATCAACTTATAAACCTCTAGATCCAGGTCAGCAATGTCTCTCTCATTGCTTGATTTCCTTCCTTCCCTTCCTTCCTTCCCTCCCTCCCTCCCTCCCTCCTTCCCTCCCCCTTCCTCCCTTCCTTCCTTCATCCCTTCCTCCCTCCCTTCCTCCTTCCCTCCCTTCCTCACCCCCGCCCAAAAAAAGCTATATCCTGCTCTTATGGCCTGTGCTAAGTAATTACCCTTAGAAAAATGGTTCTGGCTAACTTCTAGTCTTAAAATCCCTTACTAATTAAATACTGTTTTAATAGCAGACAATAGTTTCCTTAAAGGAATGTAGGAACTGAATGGCCATTTTCCTGTTGGTGGGAGAGTATCGAGACTAAAATCTGGCTACAAAAGACATTTTACTCCTAAATGGTAAAGGCAGAAAACTTCCATTTCCAGAAGAGGCCTAGAGTCTGATTTCTAACTGTGTAAAATGAAGCTGTAGCGTTGCCATGAAAAAAGGAAAAAAAAAGTGTTTCTTAAATAGAGGATTTCCATTTCCACTAGGTGGCGCTGTTGGCTTAGAAATACTACGTGCTTGGCAGCGACGTGGTATCAAGTAACCTCACCTTGGGAAAAGGGAGGACTCTGTTCTTAGATTGTAAAAATCTCTGCGCATTTCATGCAGAGAAAGAGTAAAATGCTGTGGATAGAAAAGGAAGGAGAGTTTTGCAACAGAATAGTTTAGGATTCTCTGCCAACACCTGGAATGGGCTGTCAGAGGCTGCGTCCATTCCAGAGGCCTTTGAATAATGCCAGGATGTGCCCTGGCCAGAAATTCTCAGTTGCCTCAGAAATTTTCCTAGCCTTGTACAAAGACGAGCTCTCCCCATGAAAAGAAGCTAGTTCAAACATGGCCAACATTCCTAATACCTACAGATATTGGGGAATTCTCCATGTTCTCCCCAGCGAGGCTCACATTTGAATCTTTAGTACAGCAGCAACTGTTAAGCATATGTTTCAGGCTGAGGGATTCCTGTTGATTTATTTGATTTATTAATATATAGGCTAAGAGCACTTCAAAATGATAAAACAGGTTTTTAACTCCCTTCCATACTTACCACACCAATGAAGGCTGTACCTCAGATTTCTAGCCAATGCACCAAAAGGATACAATTCCAGTGGCTGGAGGAACACCAGCTTCCTTAGTCTCTTACTGGCTTCAACAAAACCTGTATTTTGACACTGTTCTGAGTAAAAGTGAGTTGGAGTCAATGAACAAAAACTGCATCTGATGAATTATTTTGTTGCAAAACTTCCTCTATTTTCAGCCTTGATATTTGTATCAGCATATCACATAGGTTTGTTGACACAACTTGTGTTTATTTTTCAGTGCTAGATTTCACATTTTTTTGTGTCAGCATATGGTGGTCAGAATTGGATTTTTAAAGATTTCACAAGATGTGTCTTTGAAAAACTGCTGTTAGTTTGTACCTGTTGATTCAATTAAAGAAAACAGCCCAGCATACATTATTTGTGTGTCGTATCTTGCTTTTAGCTTTAGGGCTGTATATGCATATCTTACCAGAAGCACTAACTGAGCTTGGAATATTTTTGTCTGAGCTTGTACAAAATGTGTTTTTGAAAACTGATCAATGTCAAAGCATATTTAATTTTAGTGAAAGAAAATAACACATAATTTAAGTTTCTGATACAAAAATTATATTTACCTTTCAGGGCTAGATGTTTGCATGTTCTGTGTTAGTGTACTATGCTCAGAATGGTGGTTTTTTTTTTTTTGTGATTTTCTTTGTTTATTTAATTTAATTTTTGTTGCATTTTAAGTTTTGGGGTACATGTGAAGAACATGCAAGATTGTTGCATAGGTACACACATGGCAGTGTGATTTGCTGCCTTCCTCCCCGTCACCTATCTCTGGCATTTCTCCCCATGTTCTCTCTCCCCAACTCCCCACCTCTCAGTGTCCCTCCCCTATTTCCCCTTGA